TTCGGTTGTTTCGTTTCGGTCGTTTCGGTGGTTTCGATGGTTTCGGCCGTTTCGTTTCGGTCGTTTCGTTTCGACGTTTCGCCTTTTAGTACATGCCCGCTAAGCGTACATGTGATTGCATTTTTGTTACAATACACAAGTAACACAACAATACACCCTTTCGATAATTACGTCACAACTACACTGTTTTCAACTTAGGATCACCTTAAATGAAAGGATTTCAAGTTTCTTTCTCATGGGCAATGCACAGAGAAGCAGAACATCCTTCTTCAACACATGCGCGAAAACAAATTTGGATTTTGATCAATAAATATGGAAATAAACCTGGAGCCTCGTTTTCGTGTTAAAGCTTATTTCCACATTTATTGGTCAAAATAAAGAATTTTTTCATGCAGGTGTTGAAGAAGGATGTTCTGCTTCTCTGTATAAGGTGGTCCTAAGTTGAAAACAGTGTAGTTGTGACGTAATTATCGGAAGGGTGTATTCTTGTTTCAGTTGTTTGTGGCTGTTGCTGCAGTTTATTGTTGGTGCTTTTACTTAATAGACAGCTTTGCATGGTAAATGGCTGACGAGCACCTTAACGCGACACACAGATAATCAGACACTTGCATGATTATTATTTACGGTATGGGATCCTCGTTTTTCACCTCTGAATTTATGGGGCGGTGTCGAGGACAAAAATAGCTTTCAGACATTTTCACACAACCCAGGGACACGTCACAAAAGGTTGGTCTCAGTTTTGATTGAGACTGTACTGAAAAGTCGGTCTCGAATTTCTACTATTAGAGTTGTTTAAATCGACAAGCCACATATGTCTGCGGTTGTCAGGAGCATTTTTTCATTCAAATTCTTCAACTCAGTGCCGGAAAGTGCAGGAAATGGCGTTTCCGAGCCTCAATTTTGCAAATTTTTCCCAGGGTAGCCTGCCCCCGGCCCCTGCTAGTTTTCATCGCTCCTATTATGCTACTCTGTTACAATTCAATCATGTTGTGCGTATCGTGTTTACACTTGGCTGAAAATCTTAACTATGGTTCCCAACTTAGCTGGAACTGATTAGCCTCCCCAAAATAAAACCTGTTCCGCTGCCACTGGTTGTAGAGTACAAGAAAGTTGGTCCCAGATTGTCCACACCCCACCCACACCCAGAAATTTGTTGAATGTGTGCCCCTGCGCGCGCCACCTATTATGATGTTTCCTCATTGAGGCATGACATTTACGTTTATAAACATGCAAGCAATTTGATATCCGGTACCGTTTATCCGGTAGTTACAATTACTCGGCTGTTAGTCCTGTTTCGTTCCACCTCAGTGGAGGAAATTCACTTTTTCCGGTGGGGGGGGCGAAGCCTTCTAAATTTCCGACAAAACTTTCAAATTTCCGCCAACCCCCCCCCCCATTTGC